CCCCTGACCCTACCCCTACCTTACCTCGACCCCAACCCTACTCACTACCCCACCCTTACCACTAACCACCACCCTAACACACCCACTACCCCACCCATACATTCCTTTCTTGCATACTTCACAAAACGGAACTTTCCTAACACCGTCCCCAAGTATATTTACTTCTATCAAATTATGTATTGAATCTTGAGAAATGGTTAATTGAATTTACGTGGTTGTAAGTTTTTGTTATTTTTTTTACGTGAATAGTAAAATGCATGTAGGGCCCACATTAGGAGCGAAGACCACAGATATTTCCGGGATCACATATTGTATTCATGTTGGTCTAGATAATAGTATATGATGATAGAAAATCGTGATGAGCCATAGAAATAACGGAGGTTTGGTGGATTGATCAAACGAGACCCATTTACTAGTTTTGGTAAATTATCGGATAACAATTCGTAATAATTTTCGGGGACTACTAAATTCAAGTTGGGGTATATATATTCATTCTAGAAACCCATAATAAATGGGAGAATGATATATATTTTATTAGTTTTGCTAATCCAGCGACGTCTTGCAATCTCTCAATCAATAGTGACTCACCAATTATATCTCATATCTTCTAATCCTTAGCACAATCAACTATCTATTGATTGTGAAACAGGAACAACATACATATAACTGAAAGTATGGGGGGCCTTTTTGGCCACATGCCAAATGGTGAAATTGAAGAGTATATCTCCAGTATCAGTCATAATGAAGGACAAAAAGACAGTGAATTGACAAAACTAGCTTGTAGGTAATCCTATAAGGAATTTTGCATAACACCTATAAGGAAGACACAATAAAAACACGTACACCTGATATTAACTGTGTGCTAGCTTTTGAATGTGTCATTCATTTCTAATGCATATATCTACACACTATTTGGGGGTTTCTATCCCGTGCGGCTTATTACTGTCAGTTGGTGATGCTGAATAGCAGTATATCATTAAAATCATCATCCCATAAGCACTCTGGATTTTCTGCATCGGTTGCATCTAAGAGGGCGCTGATATCTTCTCCATCTCCATAGCTACCTATCTCTAGCACAGCAGCAGAAGGAGATTCTTGCGGTGTTGAGCTGAAATTCCCAGAGTCCACCCCTGGCAGCGAAAGGGACGCACTTTGATCATCCATGAGAAACATTTCTGCATAGCTCTCAAAATCAAACGGCTGCTGCTCTGGATATGTGCTGCTTCTGATTCCTTGCAGAGAATTCTCATCCACAGGAGTGTAAAACGATGGAGCTCGCTTTTCGGAAATGAAGCTGTCTTCGCTTTGAAATGAAGGGAAACTGTCCGGCAGTGGATGGCACTGGACAAGACTTTGGTCCATAGAAGTTTCCAAGAACGGGGCAGAAGACGGTGGGTCGACAGACACTGAACAGCTTGAGACGGAATCTGCGGCATTCCCAGATGGAATCCAGTCAGCTGTTAATGAGGAACTGCTGGTTTCTCTTTGAATGTCTGCGCAACCAATAGAACTCTTGTCTCCAAACTGGAGTTGATCATTCACCACTCTAAAACCAAGAAACCTGAAATCTTGGCATGGATGCCTGTTTTGAATGGCCAAAAGCATGCTCCTTTTCTCATCCCCATAAACTCTGAAGTTCCTGTTGTTTAAGGGTGTTTTGGGAACAAAATTTGAGTGGAACTCCATATCTCCATTCTGGCTCATCCGTTTTCGATGCAAGATTGAGTCTAAAGATTGCATCTTTCGGGTTAAAAGATGTGACATGGGAGCTGGAAGGTTGGGGTTGAGGCAGAAGGATTGGCGAAGCGGTGACTGGGAAAAGACCGAGTTGTTTCTTCCGCCAAAGGGTGAAGAATATGTGTGTGACCCATACAATGGCTTCCTACATTCCTTTGTCATGTTGAGACCATAGGAAAAATCAGTTGAACATTCTTGTCCTTTTCTCAAATTCGTCCGGTATTTCTGCAAATCAGTTAACAATATGTTTTGTTTTTTTCACAATTTCAGTTACTAATAGTTATGGAAAAACAATCTAACTGTCATTCATAACACAAAGACACACTATTATAATACTTCGTCGTATGATTCTATACCATACAATGAAATGTACAAGAGACATCCATAGTAGCAGCAGCAGCTGAATATATGCAATACAATAATACGCAGTATATTTTTAAGTATTACTATTACTATTATTCTTTTTTAGTTATTTGTAGGACTATTTTACCTGAATCCTCTTTATTATAATTTATAAAGTCGTGCGTAGTAACTTGTAAGATTTTTTTAGTATTGTAAACAAAAAATAGAGTTTTCTTATAGTGGGAACCCTTTAATTTAGAAAATATTACTACGTATTATTTATGGTATTAGTTACCAATTTAAATAAAAACATTAACGAAATTATTAATTAAAAGAAAAGAATTGAATAAAAAACTGCAGGTTTTGAAATTGGTAATATTTCATTCCGGCTAACGGAAAGAAGTATGATGAATCAAACTTTTTACGACTCATAAAACTAATCCCTCCTCAAGAATGTTCATATAAATAATTTAAATTAATGGTGGTGTCCACGAGATTAAATTGGGGTGAATTCAAACTAACGTCCATTTTATACTCTTAACCCCACTTTCTCATTCACCACTCTTCGTTTCGCGTAAACTTATACTACATCCGTCCCACTAACATTGAGACATGAGGGAGTGACACGTCATCAAGAAAAGTGAGTTTATGTTGTTAATATTGAATTGATAAAGTAAGAATGATTTAAAGTCACACAAACTTTACCAAATTTGATATGAGACAATTTTAATTTAGTGGATGTTCCGAATTGATAAAATGGGACAATCTTAGCGGGACGAGGAGAGTATCTTCCAACTTAGAGAGAATAGCATATGATGGAAATATTAAAAGGACATTAGTTACTCACTCCGAGAGGAAGATGTAGTTCATCTCAATTTATCCCTTTGAAGTTCAAATTATTTTTATGAACGCTTCCAATAATATTATAAAATCGTTTCAATTTCAGTTCCAAATTTCGATTGCCTTCATAACCTTCATGGCTTCATAACTCATAACATTCATGGCTTCATAACTTTCTGGGAAATTTCTTTAAATAGGACTAAATAAAATCAAAATTGTAACAATAGGATCATAAAGTTTAAATTCTCAAATAAGGCCAACTCTTTCTACTCTACCATATTCCTTGTAATTCTTAATAGGATTTTTTAAACAATAATAATAAAACATAAAAAAGTAAAAAATAAAAGATACAGACCTCAACCACCATCTCAGCCACCTTTCTGCACCGCCACCTCCGGTCGCCGAAAAAGAATTTCAAGTTGAAAAAAATGTCATGGTTATGGTAATTTTGAAAAGAAAACTGGATATTTACAAAGAGTAAAATTGTCATTTTCAGAGGAATGACAATTTTTACACAAGATGACATTTTCACTGTGATCGGAGCTGGTGGTACTGGAAGGTTGAGGATGTGGTGACAGTGACCTACATATTTTTTAATATTTTTAGGTATTTTATTTTATTTTTAGACCTTTTTAAGTTTTCTTAATGTATTTTTTTTTTGTTTTTTTATTTTATTTTACTTTATGTTTTCCTGTTTTTATTATTAGGTTTATAAATATTTTATTACTCCCTCCGGTCCTAAATAAATTTCACACTTTGACTTCACACAAATTAAGAAAATAAATTTGACTTTACTATAGAGTACACTGTTGTGACACTATTATTTTATTATTTAATTAAATAACTCTACTAGAAATTAAAGGAAAAGTGAAAAATAATTTGAAAATAAAAGGATCATAATCGTATTTAGGGCTAGCTTTAGTCAATACCTATTGAAATAAAGAAGCACATCAAAGCACATCAATACAAAGGGGCGGATGGCAATAAAATTACTTTTTATTTTTATGAGTTATATTTAATTTATACACCGTACAATGTTGCACTGTTCCCATTTGAAAACAAGATATTGTTCATATTTAGGGCAACCCCAAAAATAATAATAGGAAAGCTTAAATATGTTTTTAGTCCCTGCAAATATGACACGTTTTGTTTTAGATCCCTGCAAATTTTTTTTTATCCCTGTAATATGCATTATTCTACTTTTAGTCCATCTCTAATTCTAAAACCACCCTACTTAGAAAAGAAATTATGGTTAGTTGTACACATCAACTAGAAATATTTATATTTGTCCTTTAATAATTGTTTTGAGGCTAATATGAGAGATAAAATAATGTAAAATTAATTAATCACATTTTTAAAAACATATTAAAACCCTTCTAAAAAGCAAAATTAAATACTTTTTTAATAACATGACAAAGAATTAGAAGAAATCTATTAGTCAGGGTTATTTTGAAGTCAAGCAAAGATTGTTATCATCGGTAAAAAGCTAAAATGAAAACTAACATAAATTGCAGGGACGAAAAACAAAGGAATAATTTTGCAGGGGCTAAAAACATATTTAAACCTAATAAGAAAGATAAACTCATTTGTGAGATTTTAATGCAAAAATTACAGTATTATATTGTAGTCTAGTTTTGAGAAATTATTGATTCTAGCATTAATCTGTTTGATTTTTGTAATTAAGACTGTTCATTTGTGGCATGTCCAATATAATCTGATTCTCATGTTATTAATATATTATTACTTGTTTATTTTGTTCCTTAAATCTTGATCTTAGAGTAAATGTCCATCAATCATATGTAATTAAAGAATAACTATGAAAGTAAATAATATGAAGGGGAAATGGCTATACAATCTAAAAAAAATAGGCTAGATTAAGTTAATAACCCCATTAGAGTTTTAATAAAGTGCATGAGGTTGTAGCGACTAATATATAAAATGTGATGAAGTCAAATACAAGATCTAATTGTATTTGATGATGAAATATGTATGGAGTTAACATCAAACGTTATGCATTTTGGTGTTATTGCTAGACTTACATTATTGATAAGTTTACAGAAAAATAACAAATGCTATATATTTTGTTTTTCTAAATATGTAACATTAACTAAAATGTACATACTAAAAACATATATACACTCAATTCTGATATGAATCACAGGTTGCGTGTATGTACAACAATACAAGAACTGAAATAAGCATTTAATTACTGAAAATATAAAAGTTAATTAAAGACCGCAACTATATACAACAGAATTAATGCGCTTAAAAGTAAATGAATGAATGAATAAATAAATAAATAAATAAATATAAACAACTAACATGCACAAAAGAAAAATCCTCACAAGTGCAAAAAATATTATAACTCATAGGCAACATATGCAGGACATGAATGAAACACACAGACCTGCAGATGGCTGGCAACATGCTCTCTTGTCAACCCTGGCTCATTCATAAGCTCAACTATCTTTTTTGGAACAGCCTCTGAATATCAAAGCACACCATTCAATAACAACTCACCAATAGCAAGAATGTACACCATTAACATGAAAGAAAAAGGAGAGGAAGGATGTCATTAATTACTGTCATAGCCTAACTTCTGGATAGCCTGCACAAATCTCTGATGCATATCTGCATTCCAGTTCAACCTTGGCTTCTTTTTAGGCTCACCGCGGCAATCTTCTTTGCTCTCTACAATACTCTCTTCCCTTTTGTGGTAGTGATTCTTTTTCCCCTCCTCTTCCTCGTCCGCCTCCTTCTGTACCTCATCAGCAGCAGGTTCATCTGCGCTGCTGGTCTCCACATGATGAGATACTAAATCACAATTCCTCTTGGCGATGTATTCTGCTTTTCGGGCTTTCCCCTTCTCGAAAGCCAATTTCCACAATTCTTTCATATCGTTGATATCAGAAAAGTTGATAATGTATGATGAAAATTTGCATTCTTTCCCTCTGGTATCAAACTCCACTTCACCTGGCAGCATCACTGCCTCAATTGGCAAAAAAAATCATAAATCAAAAGGCTCTACTTAAACGTGATAAGTTGATCGGAGAAAAAATAGAACACATACAACAGACACGCAGATTGAGTTCCTTCTCAATGACTTGGATAATCTCAGCCCCCATTGTCTTTAACCTGTTTATGTTTGTTAAAACGAGGCTTAGTGCGTCTTTTCTCTTGCGAATTGCGTTTATTGCATCCATTGCCCTTCCAATATGCAACACTGAGGTTTTAAAAACAAAGTGCTTGATCATGAAACAAATATTAGAAGGGAACACAAAAAAAAAGGATGATGATCATGATTCATGCAAAAACATCAACAGTGTAACTTAAAACAACTAGCTAGTGATAGAGGAAAACTAAATTTGGTAGTGTATACCTTCATAAGTGCAGTGTTGAAGCACCTCCGAGACAATGTTTTGACAGATGCAATCATCACTGAAGAGGAGTATGCAAATTCTTTTGTGAATTCCCATATCTGAAGGAGGAGGAGAAGAATAAGATGAGGAGGGGGGATGAATGAGATTGGAGTTTCTAGGAAGTCCCTGGATGTCCATGCTTGCTCGAGTTGCTTTTCTGATCTTCTACTCTGGATGATGAAGTGTCTTAATTGGAATACTGCTTATCTTTGTGATTAACATTGGACATGATAGGAAGCTATTAATAGTTTGCCTTATAAACCAATCAATCCACACAAGACCTATATATGCTCTTTCAAGAAAATGTAACTCCATGATCACCCACCATTTTATACATCTTAAAAACAGTTAATCTGCTGCGGTGACTCTAGGTATTCTTATCTGCTAAAAGTTGATTTTCTAAAACTGTGACGCAGAAACTGAAAGAATATCTTATACAACTACATTCTTGAAATAGTAATAATAGGGCAAACATATCAATTAGGATCTTCGGTATCTCATTTTTAATGACTTTTATTAGCTTCTAATTTGGCAACAGTTGTGGGGGAATGTATTTTATCAACTAAATTTATGATTTTTTTAAGCCTTAACATGTTTGTCCAAATTTCCAAATTCATTTGACTGCTTTCCCGATTGAATTTTTAGCTGAAATTTGGTATGCGTAAACTAGACTTAATGAAGAAGATGCTCAAAGAATTTATCAAAAAATTCCACCGGAAACCGCCCAAAAGAGCTCATATGATTTGCACTTTTTATGAAAATTCGAGGGCTTATTTGGTAGTTCTCCCTTTATTTTAAGTGTTGTACCTCATTCTGTGTTAGTGATATAAACTAAAATGTGACAAAATGTTTTTAATTGGACCGTATAATCTAGTCTAGTCTGTACATATGATCTTATCAGGTCCGAACTAGTCTTATATGATAGGTGTCTATTCCGTGTGTAATTTACAACTGTCAAAGTCTAATCTAATACGGAGTACTACATATGATTTCGTTTGTTTAAGTCTAGTGTAGTCTACGACTAAAACCAGTCCCATTAAAAGCATCATAAGTGATTCAATTCTAGGTATCCTGGTCTAATTAAAGAGTTCATTTTAATAATAGTCCGATGTTGAAATTAGGGATGTTTCTACTTGGAATTAAACCATACCAGATCAGACCAGACATCAACAATTGTGATATACACAAAAACAAGACAACTATCAGATCAATCCAGTTCAGTCCAGAAAATTATAGTCCAAATAATAGAAATCATAACTTCATTACTCATTACTAAGACTTCTCCGATCCAACGTCTAAATGTCAACAGACGACATAGGGGGTTGGCAAGTACGTCTCAAGAGAGATTGTTAAGAGATCAATGCATTATGCACGAAAAAGCTTCAAGTGCTTTGGGTATTTTTTTTAAATCTATTTATTTGAGAGGTTACCATAGGCATTTATTTATAGTATTTAATTCCACGCCATTGCATTACTGATGTTGTCATACATATAATCTTCACATGGCCCACCATTAATGCCCAAAATCGGCATCAAACTTAGAACATCTCCAATCATATGCATAGTGCACATACATAGCATGAAAGAGATAGAAAAACAAATCATTAACATTTCTCTCTATTTCCACGGTTTTATATAACTTTAGTAATAATGTAAACCACAATATCTACATCTAAACATTCTTCTGGACATTATAGAGAAAAGCTTACCAAAAATATATGAGAACGTTTAAAACAGGAGAGAGATATTTGTAAATCTTTCATACCACGTGTGCATAGTGCATATTGTGACATCGATGATTCTCTTAGGGTGCGTTTGGTTCAAGGAATGTCAGATTACCATGTGAATCTCAGATTGCTGGGTATATTAGATTGATGGGAATGTATTCACTTTATTCCCATTTGTGTTTGATTAAGGTTAAGTGAATGTGACATTAATTTATTTGGTTAAAAGATATCTTATATTACAGATATGGTGGATTACCTCAATGTCCTTTAAATATTTTCTCTTAGCACAATAAATATATTACAACCTACGTCTGAAGTAATTAAAAATTAAAAAAAAATGAAATATCTTAATAATAAATAAAATGAAATCTAATTGAATTATTTTTAAGTATGTTTAATTGCAAGAGGTTTTAGATCCAATACAAAAATGAAAAAAATTCTGTTCAAATAACAATCTAAATATATTTATTATCACTTCAATAAAAATAAATTTAAAAAATGTTCAAGTTATTCGTAAAACTTGTTTTCAAATTAAAGAAAAAATGATCAATTTTGCCATTAAATTTTGAAAACCACTCATTAAAAACTTAAATAATCTATAGACATAAATACCTTAAAAAATTTAAATGTTAAGGAAAAAAGAATTATGAAAATAACAAGAATAGACATTCGAATATAATTAAATAAACATTTTTAGTAAATAAAAGTTACACATTTAGAAACAACATTCCCGGGAAGTCGAATACATAGAGAAATTAAATGAAAAGCGATAATTAATTGAGGATATTTTCGGAAGAAAATTAGATCATCCCTGGGAATGTCAGATAACCTAAGGCATGGAAGGGTATAACATTCCCGTCCATATTACATTCCCGAGAATGTAACTTTCCCGATCTTTTCTAAAAACCGTGAACCAAACATGGGTATTTAACATTCCAGGCATCACATTCCGGCCTCAATGTGATATAACCCCAAACCAAACATACCCTTAAAGTCTTGTAGATGAAGCAAGTAGCAACACCATACAACAACAGGATACGAGATGATTTTATGGAGCATATATGGAAGAAGTGCATGAAAAGGTAGAGAAGCAAAGAAGATTAGAGTTTTATTTCCAGTACTTAATATTCACAAAGGGGAATTTAGCCTCCCAATGGTCACAGCAAGATTAAAACCCCGTTTGCCAACTTCCAGTTGCACATGCACATTCACTGTTGACCTAATATACAACCAAATTGCAGTTCAGACAAAACAAGAAGAAGAGCACACTAATTGATGGGAGGACATAAGGATCTATCACTCAAATACAAGTTTGCGCCTAACTGGCTTGCGAAAGTTGGAAAGATTCTCTTCTTTTTGTTGTTCTTTTTTGGAAGCGCTAGATCCACTGCTTGAACTAACAGCCGGATTCCCCCCACCCTCCAGCTTTGTGTGGCAGGTGGTGTTGCCTTTAGAGGATCGAAAAAAGCTGTCTATACTTGGCTGAACACCACTTCCGCCAGAGGACCCTGAACTCCCCTGCCTTCTTTTTCTTATTGACTCCTGCTGCATTTTATAAACCCAACAACATTCAAAAGATAAATTAAAACTCGGGATAACAGGTTCCCGGGGCATGTAACAAAAAGCATTATAACAACAGCTTAAAAAGGAAAAGAGTTATCACCCTTTGCTTCAGAAACTGGTTGACCTTTTCTGGAAAAGATTTCCGAACAAGTTCTATGTCTTCATCAGTTGACAAATAGCAGCAGCCGTCCTCTCTATGAATCTCTGGCCCATTAAACCCTTCTGTTAAATCATTCACTTCTTCATCCTTCCCACCTTCTTTGGTGGCAATGTCCAACACATCATCACCCTCCTGTGTTAGATATTTCGATTCATCAATAGCTCTCCAAGTTTCTAGAAGCATATTTGGCTTTTCTAATGTAAGTGTTTGGATATCATCAACTGGCTCTTCTGTTAAATCAATAATCTCATCAGCTCTCCCGGTTCTCTTGATATGAACTTTCGTCCTGTCAGGATGGTCATTTGTCAAATATTTCACCCCATTAGATGTCATATTTTCTTGATACATGTTAGGCTCTTCGGACATAACTGTATGGATATCTTCAGCTGGATCCTCTGTTAAATCTATAACTTCATTAGCTCTCCCGGTTTTCTTGATATGAACTTCCATCCTATCAGGAGGAACTTCCATGAATTCATTAGATGTTGTATTGTCCTGATGCATATTGGGCCTTCTGGAGGTGACTGTGTCATCGGTATCAGCAAAGACTGTGTTTGTTGCTTTCTTCCAATAGACGACATAAAACTGATGGTCGTATCTTGTTTTCACCCTCTTGATATGAGCAAACTCATACTGTCCATAGAGTAAAAGACTTTCAGAATTTGAAGCTACATCTCTCAGAAACAAAGTTGATAGCATTGGGAGCATTCTCCTCCGCGTATCGGAAGGCTTCCATCCCTGAAGTCGAGCTAAATACTCAACTAGCATTTCAGTTTTTGGGTCTGTCCAAGATATCTTCTCGCGGTCTTCATCTGTTACCAAATGATCGAAATGAAAAATAAGGTCACTACACAAAGTTCAAGTGTTACTTCCAACTCCCCTTTCAACTATGCAGATTCCATTGAAATATAGCAGGAAGTTCTTTTAATTGGGGCATATATGTCTTAAAGACCGAAGCATAATTAGCAGAGTTAAAAACAACCTGATATGGAAGGAACAAAAAAATCCTTGCACAATATTTGTCCTAAAAAAGGTCGTATTTTGTTAACAATAAAACCGTTTCAGCTATGCAGATCTCCATTATCTATTAACCTAGCACTGCTTGGCTCGTTCACTATTATTGTAGCTCATATGTAATCCCCTTACCCATATCTCACTACTGACTAGGGTACACGCATGTCATTATTCACACATCACTTGTGGATCTTATACTCCCTCCGGTTCTGAAAGATCTTTACACTTTCCATTTTTAACAGTACCAGAAAGATCTTTACACTTCCTTATTTGCCTTATTTGGCAAATAAATCTACACAAAACAGTGCCAAACAGTGCCAAACAGTGTTTATTTCCTTAAAAACTGTGAAGTCAAAGTGTCAAGATCTTTTGGAACCGGAAGGAGTAGTAGGTATTGCTGCACATGCAGCCATTTTTTTGGTAAGAGACTACAATCCAAATTAATCGATATAGGCAAGGGCAATGTCTCAAAGTTGTCTGCATTTGGGATGAAGACTTATAGTTCCACACCGCCCACACTTAATCCTAAATTTAAAATAAAAACCGAAAGATAATGAATGGGTATCATTACCAAGTCTGTTTTCATTATGCAAATACATATTAATGATTAAATCATGTGGGAATTCCTCCGAAGCAATCTGTCTGCAGACTTTAATATGCCAATTTTCATACTTCCTCTGTTCATCTTCTTTCCTATCCTGCCATACAAACATACATAGTAACACCAAGCAGATGAATTAAAAGCCTTGTAAGAAGAAGGAGATAATAGAGAATTGTTTTGCAACAAAAAGGTTGCAGTTGTACCATGTTGCATGATGAACAGTTACACTTAAAATCTGAGTCTTTTTTCTTGCAACCCTCACCAGCTTTTTTTCTGCATAGTTCACAAGCACTCTTGAGATGAGTTCTCTTACTGCCTGGATGTCCACAGAGTGAGCAATGTGTAAGTTTTGGTTTCCGGGGGTTATCATCTGAAGTAGTAATGACGTCACCCTCTCCACCGGCAATACCATTTAGTTTCACAATTCCTCCCCTACTAATTTTCAATAACCTGAATAGCAAACGAGATACAACTGGTTAGGCAATACCGTGTACAACAGAAATGGGCATTTTAAATAAAAGTAATTCAAAATTCTGTCTCTCCACTTCCCATAGAAAGAAAGAAAGCACAAACCTCTCTAAAATCTCATCTTCGCTGAAAGACTTAACAAATTGATATGCTGTCTCTAAACCAATACCACGTACCCCAGATAGATTGTGGTCATTTCCTACCAAAATAGAAATGCCTATCAAATGCTTTCTCGTGAGCCCCAGACCAGCCTCAATGTCAGACATATGATAACACTCAAATGGATCCTACAAAAGATGCTTAATGTCATTAATGACAACAACAAAAAACCCAACCATGCCCAGTATGTCTAACTCGGAAGTAGGGTCAAGGGGTAACACGAGATGTACACAGAGATTACCTCTACCCCTAGGAGTAGAGAGGTGGTTTCCTTGAAGACCTCTGACTAAGGGGAAGATTGGAAGGGTTTGTAAATGTTGAAGCTTGAAAGATCTTGACTTTTTTTTGAAAACTGTAATAATTTATGCAAATTTTTACAACAAACAACAACATACAAGTCTTAGCCCCAAAATAGTTTGGGGTCAGCTAACATGATTACACATATGAAATCGGAGAAAAAAAATAAAGAAAAGGGTGTTAAACTATCACCATTCCTTGTTTTTACCCTTGATAAACATTAGGAAAAGGCATTGTGCCTTGGGTTCTCAACATGAAAAGATGAGATACAGAAAGCGGACATGAAGACTACTTACTTTGGATTTAGGGTGGATGCGTTTGATAACACAATTTGCTCCAAAGAGAAATGCATCACTATCAGCAGTAAGACAAGCATCAACAAGTCCTTCTCTATTCAGCTGTGCACAGAGTGCTTCAGCTTCCCCTTTAGCATTTAAAACAGGCATTCCAAGGAGTTCGAGCAAATCCTATCAAACAGAACTTACTCATGACCATTCATAATACACTTAATTGCATTTGCATTATTTATCCATAAAAAGGTGGTAGTGGTAGATGTTTCTTTTATTCAAGATGGGAAGACAATTCATCAACATCCAGTGGCATGGCAAAAAGATAATATACAAATGTGGCCGCAATATACAAAAGTATAACAGACATCTGTAGAGTGAAAGTATAAGAAATGGAATCTGCTGGTTATGTCAAAGAGAGCTTAATTCAAATATAATTCAGAGAAAGAATCTCACAACACATTCGCGAACACACTTAAGAAAAAACTTGTTCCTCTGAACTGATATACCCTCTACTACTACAGGCCGACTTGATACATCAACCCCAGATGCTCGGTAGAATCGTGCAATCCTTGCCTGAGACTTAAGAGGAGATGGAGTCCCGTCTGTCACAAAAACTGGAAATGTCCCAAACTGCACATCCAAAATGGAAAAACAAAAACCTCAACATAAAAGTTCCAGAAATATAAGTAAATCAAAACTTTTACTTACAATCAAAATATCAGAATGGAACATAGAAATCGAGTGAACACTAATCCTTATGCATGCATTTACTTCTCTCTGTTTAGGTACACCAGCTGTTACCTAAATGTTCATGCATACAGAAATATGACTGGAATACAATCAATACTAGTGAACACTAATCGTTATGCATGTATTTACTTGTCTCTGTTTATCATTTGAATTTTGATTATATCAGGACTTACACACATGTTATTTTCATCATTTGCAATGGAGCCAGAGAATCACTATTTTTGGCTTGAGAATATGATGGAATAAACCAAAATGACTTACTAAACTGTCTGCGCTTCTTTGTAATGAAGCAGCGATCAGTTCATGCAATTGTGGATGCGATGTTCACTATGCGTCATCCGAAAATAGTCTCTTTGTGCTTTAGTACAGGGGTAAGACGGTGTACATCCGACCCCCTTACCCCACCTTAGGTGGGAGCTTTGCGACACTGGGGTAATGATGATGATGAATTGATGATGACTTACACACATGTATGAAACAAAAATTAACGGGCTCCAGTTTCTGGTTTTCTGTTTTCCATTATTTTTAAAAATTAAAAACAAGATTATGGAAATCAGAAAGAATAGTTTCACTTTTCTGTGGGTAGTTTTCTTTGGATAATTGGATAGGTTTCTGTGTGTCATGGGTTGTTTCAGTTAAACAAGCCATGTCATATAACTTTAGTATCTAACACATTAAGCAAGCCATGTCATAAAACTAAAAACTGGGCAGCTATACCGTCGAAACAAATGAGCTGTGCTTCTCCAAGAGACATAGATCATAAGAAGATTAAAAACTGAAACCCATTTTGATTTTTCTCTACAGAATGCAAAAGCACAGTGTTTTCCTCAAGTCTAAAATGATCTTTTCTTTTTGCGATATTCATGGAAAAGTACAGCCTTTTGATTATTCGATGTTCATGACAAAAGGTTTACCTTGGAGAAGAGATTGATGGTCTGGAAGAATATTGATCTTATATGCGGATTTCGAAAGTTCCCTTTAATGGCAGTTTCAGACTGGACGATGAAGTACGAGAGGTCCACGGCGACCCGTTTGTCCCTCAAGAAATCGAAGCCTTCCAGTCGGGCATGAGGCTTGAGTAAATCCCAGAAATTCCCTCCAGCGCCCATTTATTTCACCAACAGCGTCTCGAGAAAAAGGGAGGATCGTTTGCGTTTGGCATGGTAGGGAGTGAGAGTGCCCACGCACTCTGCCACTTGTGTGTTTCAGGAAAGGAAGATGATGAAAGAAACGACGCAAAAGTTCGAGTCCGTATAAGAAGATTTTTAGCCGTTAGGCCTTCTCAAACCCGTGGGCCGAATCCGGTTAAATACTCGCTTAGACCATCCACATCCCACACAACTCTACCCTTTCAGCCTAAAAGAATTGAACCCGGCACATGAATTTACACAATTTATAAAGCACCTCAATTTATCTTTTTTTGAAAGGAAATAGCTTATTTTAAAATCAACGGAAACAAATCAACAATCATGTTCCAAGACCTAATTCTCCCTTTATCCAACCAATACCAAAAGTCTATCTGCCTTCTCACGTAATGATCAGAAATAAAATAGTCTACCTTAGAAAGAGCGTGACTAATCGCTGAAACATTTGAGAGCATAAAAGTTATTAGCGGCTGAGTCACCCTGATTGTCTCCAACAAGAATTCTACTTGCCAAACAAAACCAACACACATACCCTCCCCTTTTGTTGTAAAAACAAAGTAACAACACAATAAACAAGTAAACTCAGTCTGAAATGAAAAATGCAAAAAAAAGTTAAAATTCAGTTGATAGAATTCTCTTGCTCCCCCCGCCCCCTGAATCCTCCTACCCATTCTTCAATTGCATGACAGACAAGCATTATAGCCTGCTTCCTCCCCGTTTTTTGACTTCCTCGACTCTATTTCCATATCCCTATGCAAAGACTCTCCCTCTCCTTGATCAACCCTCCTACGCTTCTGCTCAACCTTATCTCCTGCAGAATGTTGCTCTTGCCACTGTTACAGATTTCCTTGACCATCCAAGGTTGGCACAATGGCACTGCCTTCGTCTTGCTCCCCTTTCTCTTTACTCACTGGAACGAGTCATTTATTCCCACCAGCCGGTACTCTTCCTTTTGTAGCTCTCAACTCATATCCAAACGGTAAACCTCCACTCTTCCCCGTGCCACCAAGATAGCGCGGGCAATACCTTTCTACATGATCAATAATTTGTCGTGCAAAACAGAAACTAAAGAGTTTTTCATATCTAAATTTGACACAAAAATTTTTCTCTTCATTTGTTTGCAAAAAGAGTTTCCTTTCTAGAGGCCTGGTCAAATCAATACTAACTCTTATCCTCATACTAGTTACGTGACGCGCGTTGCGTGATCGGGAAAATGCCCAATAACAACTACAATCATATAAGTCAAAGCTACAATGAGATGAGACATATAAACAGACGATTCAAATTGAAAAAGCTGAATCGCTAATCTCGTAAAGAAATAGACTCTAAATTCAGGTCGACGGCTCCTGCTACGATCACAATATATAATTCTCAAACAAACTACTTCGTATTAAACATCTCGATTTGTCCAGCCACCGGCAAGGAGCCAATAGTAAAATTTATTCCGCTTCTGCTAGCCACCGGAAAAAACCCAGTCCATGTGATCTCAACTTCTTGGAACAACGGTGGTTCAGGAGGGGGTGATTCGTTAAAATATCATCACAGATGAAAATCATATTCTCGATTGATGAAGATATCAATGCAAACCTCTTATTAGCACACATGAACGCCCGACCGAAGATGACGCTGAATATAAACTTGGCAGACGACACTACGCCATCGAAAATAATATCTCTAAACAACGTTATAAAAGAAACATATAGATAAAATTGAAAACACTGATCAAGTATACATTTTTTCATTGTTATCTATAATGCTAATATGTGAATTTGTTTCTTAATTATAAACTTGTGCATAGAAGTAATGCTAGCTATTTTCAAAAAAAGAAGAAGTAATGCTAGCCGCTTGAACACTAATAATTAATGAAAGGAATTGCATATATTACGATGGTTGCAATGTAATCAGTTCATGATTGAAAGCACAAAATGATGAGAAGTAATGATTGAAAGCACACAAATTATTTAAATCACGATTTGTACAAAATGATGAAAAAATCTAAAGGTACACACTTTGTGTACACACTCTTACACACTCGTGTCTGTGTAGACGTTTTTTTTGTCTGTCCCAGACAAAACGTAATTGTCAAATACGTTGTCTGGGACAAAAAAAATGCCTACACAGACACGAGTGTGTAAGAGTGTGTACACAAGTGTGTACCCCAAGTTCGGTTCCAAAATGATGGGTGATGAGGGTGGGTAATCATCACTAACTACTGATCCACCAGTAATTCAGGAAGTTGTAATCATACTTACGTTTACAACGTCCAGATGCCGTCCATGGTTAGAGTGGGATCCATGAAGCAGGGGCGTAGGAACGAGGGCCTAAGTCAACTATGAGCCCACTCAAATTTACTGGAAAAATGTTACTGATTGGCTCATCTTTCCTCTTCGATCCATTTTATTAAGATTTTATCATACTTCGTATCAAATTTGGTAAAGTTTTGTGATTCTAAATCATTATTATTTATTCTTACTTTATTAATTCAACATCAATCACATAAACTCATTTTCTTAATAACCGTACCGCATCATCATGTCCCAGTATTAGTGACACGGAGGTGGTAATAATATTCAGATTAGATCAAAAACATTTAAATTAGACCAAATATTTTAAAAAATTATTATTGTTATTATTTGTAATATTATTATTAGTACCATAAGTGATATTACTATTCTAGTAGGTGTAGTTAAATTGGTGCAGTTAAATGTTAATTTTAGAAATGAATTGATAACAAAACTGAGGGAAAGTTATCTATGCCTTAGTTTTGCCGCTTTATTAATTAAATCCTAAATTTTCAAGCTTGCATTCTAACGGACTTGCTCAGTAACCATATAAGACTATTTACTGGGCTGTGAGAAAAAGTTTGTCTCCACATAATTCTAATTGACTAACAAACATACAAAACATATGAATCTCTACATTATTTCAAATAGCATGTCTGGTTTCACATTTTTTACTGTAAGAGAATTGTTGTAAACATCTATTCCAAATTGATTTGCAAAGTCAACAGTTTTGGTCAATCATTGTTAAAGTTAAATCCTCTCTATTGCTAATTTACTGAATTTTTAATAATTAAAATTTACATATTCGGAAACTACATTAAAATATCTTCAAAGTTGCTAACTCCAAAATTAGAATATAATTAAAAATTAGCATCCAAACTAAGTGAATGAAATGAAACTGTTCGATAAAAAAAAGTAAATTTTGCAAATTAATTTGGGACATATATAGTATATAATTTGGTGGAATTTTATAAAATGAATGTAGATAAAAATACAGTTAAATACTCCGGATAAACAAACCAAGGACTTCGAAGGTCAAGACTTCTGTTCTACAAGCTGACAGGTCATATTATAAGCTGATTTCCGCCGATGGACGAAATTCCATAATTCCGAGAATCTATAACCAGCGGCTGATTGGGGGGAAGGGTGAATAACAAGAAAAAGGGGAAAAAGGGTAATAATAAGTGAAGGCTACGGCTTGCGTGGAACTTGTGTTTGTGTTTGTTATCATGTCCTCCTTTGCAAATCAGAATGGTATGTTACTAATTAACGTCAAAACTCATTTGATAGTTGGAAACAAAATATTAAATTAAATGTATTTTATTTCAAGAGAGTTCCTTTTTAGGAGGCCTGAGTGAAATATATTTGAGATTAGGACAAAGTTGGCAAAGTTGCCGTTCGGCGTCTTCAGGAAGACGTTGCTTTTGTTTGCGAATGCGGGTGAAATGCAAAGCAATGTGGGGTGGTCATTCGGGCATTCTCTTATTATAAATCTTTACGTCATCTCCCGAAAGGCATCCGTCGTCAAGAGGCTGTTCAGCATCTTTGAGTACGGGAGGTTTAGTGGAATTAGGTACTTGGGAAGAAGAGCCTTCGGCCTTGTTCACAGCAGGAGTTTTTCCCACACGAATAAGCAGCATTTCCTCAGATTCTGAGCTAGAAGAAAAATACATAAAACCACTTAAGGAATCCTGAGAATTCTAGAGAGAGAAAGCTTAGAAAGACGCAAGAAGAGCTTAAAAAGAGATCGGCTGGATTTTCACTGGATCTCATTTGTTGAATGTTGATCATCCCTTCTTTCTCCAGATCGTGACTAGAGAAGAACTTTGGTGATATATGCTTTATTCTGTCTCCTTTGATGTAGCCTTCTTTAATATGAGCTATGCATGCAGTGTTGTCTTCGTAGATCACAGTAGGGTACGTGAATAGTAATAGGCTTCATGCCACAATCATTTTGGATGTGTTGAATCATAGATCGCAGCCACACACATTCTCTTCTGGTTTCATATAGTGCAATTAACTCAGAATGATTCGATGATGTAGCTGTTAATGTCTGCTTCATAGATCTCCACGAGATTGCGGTGTTACCATAAGTAAATACGTATCCGGTTTGTGATTTTGCCTTTTGAGGATCTGATAAGTATCCAACGTCTGCATATCCGATTAAATATGCTTTCGCATCTTTGTGGTAAAATAGGCCGAGATCAACTGTTCCACGTAGATAACGGAATATGTGCTTCATCCCGTTCCAATGACGTCTCGTTGGACATAAGCTGTACCTAGCTAATAAATTTACAGAAAATGCAATATATGGTCTAGTATTATTAGCTAAACACATTAAAGCTCCAATAGCACTTAGATATGGTACTTCGGGACCGAGTATTTCTTCGTTGTCTTCTCGGGGACGGAAAGGATCATCGTGTATGTTGAGAGATCGAATCACCATTGGTGATGTCAACGGATGAGCTTTGTCCATGTAGAACCGCTTCAAAACTTTCTGATAAGTCCATTTTTGTACTTATTTTTCTTATCAAAATTAAGCGATTTTTGTATGGAAAATAGAAAAAACAAGGCACGTTTTGGATATTTTGGTTCAAGTTTCATGAATTCAGGTGAAAACTACAGTCATAATATGTTTGGTGAAATTTCGGGCCAATTGAGCACAATATGAGTCAATTTGAGTAACAAATAAATCCATATCTAAAGAAGCAAGCAGAATTTCAAATTGGTCCAGAAGGGAAAGTTGAAGAGCATAAAATACAGAACAAGACGGTCAAAGAAGCCCGCAGGCGGTCAAATAGGAGGCCAGATCTGACCGCCCTCCAGACCGCCTACGCTATTT